GCTCAATGACCGCCGCTTCGTAGCGTTGATGGAGATGGCCGCCGGCGAGTTCGGATACAACCAGCAAGGCATCATTCGGATGCCCTGCAACGCCCGGCACTTCCAGAGAATGGTGGATGTCATCTCCAAGACCAGATGATGCACCCACTTGTTGTTCTCTCGGATTAATTATTCTGATCCACTCTTACTCTCTTTACCTTCCAATGTGGAAGAATTCTTCTCATTCTTTGTACTGTATTTTATATTATTTTTAGGACCCGCAGAAGGAAAAGATTGGCAGACAAACACTGATAAAAAATTGAAGATTCTGACTAGTTTAATCGATAAAGATGTGGATTTCATGCACTTACCATTAATTAGATGATGATAGGGAAACTGCCAACTAACCTCGTCACTTTGATGAGGAAGCTAGCTAAGCAAAGGCATTGGCAACTCACGCTAATCCTCTGCAGCCGTCGGCAGAAAAAATAGTTTGTCGGCCCCTCCCGATCTCAACTCACGAAAAAGGGCCAGCAAGGCTCACTCTTCGTCTTCGCTTGTTAGCGTCTTCAACCACAACTAAGGAAAAACCTGCACACATGCAATAAAACCAGACGACATGACTCAATATCCCTACTTCTCCTTCTGGACGAACAACACAGGTAGCCATCCCCTGCATGTCCTAGACATGTCAAGAGCCATGACAAAACATATCATCATGGTCATCCTATCTTGATACTGTCCTTCGGAGGACGTGCTCATCAACTACCACCGTTAATGATCGCCAAACAGGATAAGGGACACCCTAATCTATCGTTGGCATTACGTCATCAACCACTCAGATATAAAACCCAAGCCCCCATGCCAAACTGGGGTAAGCAAACTCTTCTAAGCTCTCCTAAACCCCCTCCACTGACTTGAGTGTCGGAAGGGTCAAGTCGGGACATCTTCTTGATACTGATTGCTTGTGCAGATCCTTGACGTGCCTAAGGAGCACATCAGGGCGATGCTAAACACTTCCAAACAAGACAAGGCGCATCTCGAGACGACCGCTTTCTTCAATAGATAAACCACACATCAAGACAACCACGGGCCATACACCGTGAGCTAACAATACATCAAGAGTCCACCTGCTACCTCGACTGCTCGCACGGGACACACCCCCATTTTGACACAGGCTCTCAAGACAAATCTATGCCTTCGGGTTCGAACTAGACCATGTTGCCTCTCCGGTCAACGACACCAAGTTAACATCAGATGATATATCGTTAAACTCTATGGCAGTCTAACCTATCAAAACCTTATCTCGATGTACATTAATCCGATAGAGACGAAATCTTCAAGATGAAAGAATAATCAATTAAAATTGCTTGCATCGTATGTTAGTATAAACCATGTTTTCCTTTATGTTTCTACACAAATTGTAAGAATGCAATGTGGGGAAAGAGTATAGATGGAAACTGATGCTTGCGTGCAGGATTTTGACTGCTAGTCTTCGATTACGCCCCGTGGGATTCTTCATGAACAAAGTTGGGGCCACGGGAGAAACGTGCTCGTGGCCACATTCCACCACGAGGACCATTACTATTGATCTCTGATTGATTTCGACACAAGATACCAATTTCTACCAGCCAAATACCATGACTTCATTGATCATATAGATATCTTGATGACTCGGAATACAAGACTCTCGTCTCTGTGCGATCTAGGAAGCATCAAGCAAAACTGGAGTTAGATTTGATCAAAATTCATAGATTAATTAATCATATAATTGATTATATACACAAAAAATTATTATTTTTTATGAATATTATGATAAATTTTGATTATCGAATATGGTGTAATTTATCTGATTTTTGTAGGTAAAGGAGTTTTTTTTATGAGATAATGTGAGACAAAAATAATGAAGTAGACGATATTCTCTTATCTTATTTTTCACTTTTGTTGAAAATATTCATGTGTAAGATGAAAAGAGATACAATAATAATTGGGTTACACATATTAAATTTAGCTCATAATTTAGAATTGGTATATGACTTGATATATGTTATTTTTATAAAATTTCTAACATGATAGTAAAGCTAGGTGGATAAAAAATTGATCCGAATAAGTAAAAAAAAAAAAAGATAAAGAAGGGATTGTGCTAATCAAGCAATGGTTTGAATGAATAAAAATGACTCGTACCACTACGAGTAGATGTGAATGAATGAAATGTCAAAAAAGACATGATTTCGAAGTCTGAACTCTTAAAAGTAAGCCGAAGACCATAAACCTATACATAAATAAAAGAAGATGTTGAAAATATTCATACAGAAAATTATATTTGATTTGACCCATAACTTAAAAGTTTAAACTTTTATATTAAATTAATGTTTGAATTGATATATGTTCACCCTAGTCAGAATGATTTAGATTAGCCATTCTAAAATTTCTTATAATTTTAATCCATTCTTGTGAAGATTAAATTTCTTATAAATTTGAGAGACTGTTTCATATGGTATAGATTTTATAATTACAAATCTAATTAGAAAATATTAACCACTTTGATATCAACCTCCGGAAGTTAACTCCATAGTTGATACCAAATTCCAACTAATCATATCACGTACAGATTTATTTCAACTCACATCGACATCAAAAAGTCTGTGTTCAGAAGAATCGAGCTTCCCACGCAGCTTCTACTTGCTTGGTGGCCACTCCACAGCGTTAGCCAACCCCACTTTTGCATAAGACCGGCGACTCAGCTGAAAACTTTGACACGTATTCTCCAAAATCTACCGTTAGATTTGCGACTTAGATTCTGGTCTTTGATCCTTCTCAGAACCTTACAACTCACTTGTCCTACTCCTTCCTGCCGCATAACTCTCACTAGAGACTGCTATCTCGTGCAGAGAAGCACATCTAGTGAAATCTCTCGCTGCTGAATTCGTCCGCGTCGACCAACTTAAAGGAACAGTAAGCCATGCGCTAGAGGAGGAAGGAGACCAGTCTTCCGTGTTCTACGATCGTTTGCTCGGCACCGAAGACGACGACGACAGCGACAAAGAAGAAGAAGCGAATCTTTTCAACGCCACCTCGCTTCCCGGTTGTTGCTTTGTTCAACTATGCTGTATCATGACAAGGGAGAGTTCGATCGTATCAGAAGTGGACCGAACGGAACACTCCAATCCATAGATCTAAAGCTTCTACTTGGAATGACTGTGATATAAGAGAGAGAAGAGTCTCGGATCGTAATTGTTTCATTCTATTTGGGTGTGTAATAATGCAACAAGTATTTTCATGTATTAGATTACGTGAGTACTATATATTTATTGCGAGACTTTAACGTCCGACCTATCGAGAATGTGTACAGTATGCTTTAATAAGATGTCTCCTCAAGACATTTATTGAAGGGACACGTCAAGTCAAACCGATTCAATAACCTCAACCATCTCTCACATCAATCTACAGAAAGAATACCTACCTTCCATAAACTGCTACTGTCACCATTTTGTTTGACGTCTTTCTCATTCTCATCTATTTTCAACACTAACTTGATGGTAGAAAATATAATTTTATCAGGCATATTTTCTTTTATGTTTGATATAAAATTTTTCATAAAATTCATGTTTGGATAGGGATAATCCTGATGTTACTAGCTCCCCCTCATCATGTAAGCTTAGGAAACAACACCTAATTACTGGCATAAGAGCCACCTAATTTCGACAATCACTTAGGTCATGACGCTTGTCCCAACCACCCAAAATAGCCCTATAAGACTCTCTTCTGGCATCACATTCAAGAAGGCGACCACACCAGTCCCGCTTAACGAGCCTTCCTTTTGGACGATCGACAGAAGGACCACGCCCTGCCTAACCTAAAAGAGCAAGGGGGTCAAGCCGAAGGAGCCACCTCGACAGTCCACTCTAGACGGTGCCCTTAAGAGCACACACTGACAAGCCACCCTCATTAAATGCCTTCGTCATATAGACGCTCAAGTATAAAAGTTGAGCCTCAAGCCAAACAAGAATAAGCGAGCGAGAGATGTACATTCTTTACTTAAATCGTTAACCTCCCTCTTCGTTTTTTTGACTTAAGCATCGGAGGGGTCAAGTCGGGACACTCTCCATGTAGGCCCTGTTGTATAGACATAACCCAAAGGCACGGCTAGGGGACTACCTATCTGAGAGGACTACCAGCTCTCCAACTAAGCCTCACTACTTGAAGACTAAGTCACTCCTAACGAATCACCTCTCCTTATAGATTCCTTCGTCCTTCCCGTAATGCTTGCTTTCCACGTCAGCCAAGAGGAGTCGTTATAAGAGACTCGCACTTTCGACAGTAAATCAATCGGGTCGACTCACCGATGGTCTTTGTATTAACAAGTTTTAGGCTTCTTATGTTTTATATAAAAGTTTATAGCGAAAATGTGAAACTCCAATTTAGCAGGGCGATCATAAAAACGCTATCATCAATCTGTAAATTACTATTAATTTTAGTGATATGTATCAAGTGGCACAGATCTTGTGGGGTCGATAAGATTGACGGTTGGGATCGGGCGATCCTCGTATCTCTCTAACGACAAATTGGACTGTCTTTTCGACGGTCAAATTTGTTGACTACATCTTACCCACGGTCAAAGTTGAATAGATTCGTTAAGAGTTCCGCTTTGCATCACCACCATCAATTACGACGTCTCATCCCATGCCAAAAGTTTCTTCTACTGCGCTGCAATATTATATCCCAAAGAAAGAAGCGAATCAATGATTGATGAGACTCTGGAGACACTGCCTTCCACATGGTTCATTGGATTCGCGGCCTACGCAGTTCTCGGAAATGTAGCTTGAAGTGACTCCATGGCGTGCACCGTGGACCAGCTCCCAGGTAACATTAGACCGGAGACTTCATGGCTGAAGAAAATGGACCACATTTTGGTTCAAATTCTACATGCTAATTGATTGGGCTCCAATCTTTGATCGGTCAGAGCAACTTCCAAGCCAGTCGTGGATATATATTGCATATATTGCTCTCTTTGGAGGTCGCAGCTCATCGTGGGCATGCAGAGTACCACTACATCTGCAACCTTTGCCTTCAACGGTATGCTCTGCAAAGCAATGGCGCGGAGGAGGAAGGAGACCAAGCCTTCGACGTTGTATGATCCTCTGCTGAGCAGCAGAAAGAGGTGGTTCGGGAAGCAGACTCCGAGAGGCTACGTGCCGGTGCTCGTCGGAGACGGGGAGGAGGAAGAAGCGGCAGAGAGATTCCTGGTGCATGTGGATCTCTTCAACGACGCCCGCTTCACGGCGTTGCTGGAGATGGCCGCCGAGGAGTTCGGGTACACGCAGCGAGGGGTCATCAGGATCCCATTCAACGCCAGACACTTCGAGGAGATGGTCGATGTGGTCTCCAAGGCCAGATGACGACCATTTCTTACTCGACTGTAAGGTTATGTTGTGCATCATTTAGGATTTGTTGTCAGATGAAGAAAAAGAACAGCAACAAGTTTACTCCCTTTCTTCTTCCCTATTCCCCGATGGCAGTGTACATATATTTCTATAGCAACAGTACGTAGATAGAGAAATTAATGGCTTAAGCATACACGAAGAAAGGCACTCACATCAAGGAAGAGCTACAATGACTTAAAAGAGTGGGAAACCTTAGTATGTCTAATTCAAGTTTGAACTTTCTCAGAAGATGAAGTTGCCAATGCTGAGCAGGAATTTCTTCTTCTCTGAAATAAACAATTACAATCTGAACATGTTGTTGATGAAATCCTTTTAAAGCAGCTCATTATAATCATCTTCTCATCTCCAGAAAAATTTATACTCGATATATGACACCTGACGCCCAGAATAAGATGCATATATCATCATCAACCACAATAGCAATTATATATACAAGATTGCTTCACCCATTTGAGGACATCTGCTTCTAACAAACACTTGATTACTGTCCCGGGGGTCATTAGTGCGACTGATGAAACTTCATGGCACCGCAATCTCTCAATTTGATGTGCTGAGTGAGTTTCTGAGAACATCAAGGTCCAGTTCTGAGGGATCAGCTGCCTGAATCTTAAATTGAATTCCATCCAGCACTATCTTCATTGGATTCTTGGAGGTTGCATACAGCATCTCAGGCCGAATTGGAATGAGATCCGATATGTAAGAAGAACAAACAACAATCATACTTGCAGAAATTTGTGGACAGCAATTAGTTGTATGCCTGACTGAGAACGGAAGAGAATGATGGCCTAAGAAGGCATTAACCATTAGCTATTTCACATTCAGTAACAAATGATATCGACACTGTTGTCTTCTGGTATAAAGCATTTAACAAGATGCATTTGGACATGCTACTGATAGTGATGTAGAAATTGAATCTTGAATTACCACAAGACTAATTGTTTGCTTCCCATTGTGCCTTGTAGATTCAGAAAGAAATCAGTGTACTTAGAACAATCAAGATAATATCCAACCAACTCATTCATTCATAAAGATCTGCTCTTTAAGAAAAATAAGCACTCTGATTTCTACTCATAAACATGATAAGCTAAAATATCATTGGCTTCTATCAGAGTAAAAGAAAATATGCAAAAAAAAAAAAGTTAGAGATGCCTGGTGTTGGGGAACGAATGTGTCGTCGCTGATGAGTCAGCACGGCTTGGTCTACGGGTCGATGTCGGGAGTCTCCTGCCGGCTGAGCTAGTTATCGGAGCCGACTAGATCCTCGACTCGGGGGGTGGGTTAATCGATGACTCGCTACGGCGACGCCGGTCTGTGACTCCCGAGGTTGGGCTGCCTTCCTGCAAAAATGGCCTTCGTCGGGTGATCCCCGACTTTGGCCCCTCCGACGAGCAAGTCAGTAGTCTCTCCTCTTTTTTTTTTTTTTCCCTTTTGGAGGCCGAGATAGAGGTCTTTATACTGCCATAAGTGGGTCGGTTGTACGTGGATTGGCGTGGTGGACACAGCACGACATCAGTACGGATTCTGGCTCGACGTGCGGGGCATTGTCGTCCCGAGATTGTCGGGACCAGGCGTGTCAAACAGTGTCTTGGGGGTACGAGTTCTAACATGGTGTGTGACATCAGCTGTGATGTGTCCTGGGGGCATGCCTTATCACCTAGTACTGAGCCCCATACCTAAAGCAATCTACCATCTGAACTATTTACCATCGGTCTGAAGGAAGCTTAGCAAGACAAAATAATATGTGGCTTTAAACATTTCATTGCTCAACATGAATGACTGTGTCAATGACAATCGATGGCATCTTAATGTTCAGATTACTCGACAACAGCACATATCTAATAGATTAAGGAACTAAAGACGGATCAAACATTAAATGCAATGCTTCTGTAACTCGAACTGCATACAGCTCTCATCATGTTCTTCTTCTAGTTTCCTCTCTCCCTCTGCTCTACTAGCTGTTAGATGTTTCTTCTTCTATATTTGCTGTATCTATAGCCCAAATAATCGGGCCGAAAACAGAACTGCTGAACGAAGGCAATACACGAAAAAGAGACTGCGATAGTAGAGACTAATGCTGCCAGCATCAGTCCATTATGTAGACGAGGTGCAAGTAGCAGGGCAATGTTCAGACACCCGAGAGCTCTGTTTTGCAGCATCCAAAACAAGATCAAGAAGGCAATAGATGGAAAAGATCACATATTTTCTCACCAGAATTCATTGATTTTGCTGCGATTATTCCGAACTGGATGGAAATCATTCACAGAAAATGACCCGATGAAAGCCATGTGGCATCCAACATTAAGATGAGCACGAGTTCTCACCATCTTTCACTAGCAAGTGAGAAACAATAATAATAATAATAGTAATAGTAGTAGCATGTAAAGATGTTTTCCAAATTGGGACTATGTTTATCAAATTCTTACAAATTAATTTAACCAAATTGAGACATGATGTGCATCGTTTGATCCCTTAGTTGCACCGTCGATCTGCATCGAATAAGTCACCCTTAGTCTCACCGTGCGCAGTCGTGTTCACAGTTGAAGCTCCTCCTCCAAATAGGCCAACCATCCATCGTCTTCGATCTCCCTTGTCGCCTTCTCCTCAGAGGTCGTCGCAGTACTGCGGTGAACTCCTTCCGCCATTGGACCCACGTAAGGAGGAACAAAGAAGGAAAACTCATCCATAACTCCTCCCCATACTTGTAGTTCGATAGAATAGTCTTGGATGAACCTGTTCTTCGTCTCATCATGCGGCCCGCTGCAAGTTACGCGAGGTGCTACGTGTGACTCCGACGAGGAGATGCACGACGACGACGACGAGGATTCGTTGATGGATTCTTGCTTGTGGTCTTGTTCGTCGCCGACCTTACCGCATGAACTGTGAGCGCGCGAAGAACCTGTCTGTTCTCCCCCCAAGCGCCGTTTTAGATGCGTGTTCCAAAGATTCTTGATCTCGTTGTCGGTTCTTCCGGGAAGGCAAGAGGCGATCTTGGACCATCTGATCCGGGATTTTGGTGCTGCATGAGTTCAAGTATAGGCTGGACAGAGTGACGCAAGGAAAGGCTACCTGTTCCCCAGTTGTCGTTGAAGCCTGATGATGGTCTCCACTTCCTCCTCTGTGAAGTTTCCTCGCTTGATGTCGGGGCGAAGGTAGTTGATCCATCTCAGCCGGCAGCTCTTCCCGCATCGAAGCAAACCTACAGGAATCCAAGTCCACCTCCTACATCAGGCTAACATGCGACAGAAGGTGCACGGTACTGTGTGCTCAACCTGCTTGTTTAGGGAGAGCTCGCCAGTTTCCACGGCCATGCTTGTGGATGAAGGCTACAAGCTTGGTGTCCTCCTCCGATGTCCAAGTCCCCTTGTTTAGCCCCACCTTATCGCAGCACGGAGCTCGTCCTCGCCCCATCTCAAGGTCTCCAACGCTTGATCTGAATGCCAACCCACACGCATAGACCTATGTATACATCGAGAGAGCAACGTGAAACACGAGACTAAGAACCTCTCTGAATCATGGATATCCTGTTTTAACGACATGTATTTGCCACCGAAGGCCAGTCATCGTCGAACTTCGATAAGAAACATCGCGACTGACTGAGGGTATCAACACGAAGCACTCGAGAAAGGTTTATCCTAATTAAGATCTCTTCGCAGGGAGGAGAGTAGAATCTCAAAATCAAAAGAAAATATTAAAAAATAAGTAAATAAGAATATGACAGAAAAATTGATGCAATATTAACTCACTGAAAACAAAAAATCAAAAGTTTCATCATGTATAATCATTTACAATAAAATAAAAAAAATGAGATATTTATAAGAGGATCAAATCTTTAATTATCAGGATTTTTTTTCTCCATGAATATTCTTTTTTAACTTGAACATTGATTATAAAAATATTAAGATAATTGTTAGTCCGAATATGATTTCTACAAATAATGTTCATAGTCAAAATTGCTTATAAAATACATAATAGGACTAATTATAGATTATTTCTTGTAATTAGTTAACTTTAGCATTTCGTTCTACTTTCAAAAATTATATTGAGATTCTTATAATTATGAAAGTGAAATATTTAACTCAATTTCTCTTCACGTCGTCGATTTTGTTGATAGAAATATTATATGGCTTATCATTGAGCATGTATTGACTCACCTCATTTCGATTCATCTGTGAGCACGTATTGTATTTTTATCGGTTGAGTCGGCGACGTGAGGAGAAAAAAGATTATATATTTTACTTTCATAAATATAATGATCATTTTTAAAAATAAAAAAAACGGGATGATAAAGATAACTAATTATATGAGGTAATATGTAATTAGCTCTGTATATGGTAAGGAACACTTTTTTTTTTTTGGCAATCTGATCTATTTAATGCATTTAAATGATCATTTTTTTAAACTTTGACATATGGAAGGATTTGATAGATTCAAAGAAAGACAGTTGTAAAGATGGCTTTTTGTAAAGAAGGCACATTTATAAAGCTTCTAGATATTATTGCATTTGGACATTAAATACTTGGAAATATAAAGTCAGAAGTCTTATAATGGAAATGTTGATTGATTCAAAGATATATGGGAATCTTCCAACATTTCCATCATCAAGACTCGTAAAGGAAGTCGATCGACACGCACCAATAAAAGATATAATTTTTAAAGTGGATTCTAAAGTGCTTTTAGATTAGTGTGCTCAACATACCACTAAAGTGGCTGAAGAACACTTTGACTTTACTGGCAATTTGACCTCCACTCACGCGATCTTTCACCGAGTCAACGAGAAGTAAACCTATTTTTGCCATCGTTCACCACATTCTAAGCACTGTTTCTTAATTGATGCTTTTGATTTGTGTTCCAAGTAACTTGTTGTTGAGGGAGAGAATGACCTTCAAATCAGAAGAGAAATGCGAGTGTCAACCATCAAACCAAAGATTTCAAGAAAAGAACTTAAAATTTTAATTATATAAAAAATAAATATCAAATATTTCTCTTGATTTATTATATATTTTCTCATCCAACAGAGAAAAAGTGTTTTCCTCTGTGATTCTCCCTTAACAAAAATATTGAGATACATAATAATATCTTTATAATAATAAATCTTAATTGTTCCTTTTTCTCCTACTTGAATTCATAATTCTTTCTACAAATAGTTTGAATCTAATTAAGATATTACCGTGGCTGTTGTTGTGCATTTCATTCATGAAATAAATAGGTTGATGCCATATTATCTATCCGTTTCAACATCAAACCTGCAACATAAACTGAACCGAAAGATTAATGCTATGATTGATTACATGAGAAATCTCGAGTTCTTCTCATCTGACTTCGGAAACACAGTGGTTGATGGAGGAATTTTTAGCGGCTTGATCTCCATGGTATTGCTGTCCTCGAACGAGTCAGTCGTCGGAGTAAGACACCGTCTTCCTTTGGATTTGTCTCGACTTGTCAACTTGAGTACATGATAGAGGACAGGCTGTGTACTAAAGGATAGATAGTGTCTTGAGAACATGTTCTCTCTGAGCTTATCATGAAGACGACAAGTGTAGTCTTTTGAGCTGAGCTTTGTGCTTATCGGTGGTGATAAACGTCGGCGTCCGTCGATAGAACGATATAAGGTCGATCTCGAAGATTGGGAGACAAGGAATGATCTGTTTAGACTCTCTTTTCTTGGATGACTGAGTTAGAACGAACATAATGTATTCTTATAAATACGAAGCGAAGAAAACTTTTGTAAAAACTTTAAAGAGAGAAAAAAAGTATTCGTATTTGATTTTATTCTTTTATAAGAGTTTTATATTTAGAAAATAAGTTAAAAATGTGATAAGATTTAGTAATTCATAAAAAAAATAATGCGTATGAATTAAGAGTCAAAGTCATGAGGTGGGATTTTAGAAATATTATCATCGTATGAACGAAGCATTAAGATTTCAAATCCTCGCATCATCGTAGGTGAGTCTCGTGCATCATCAATACTTATCGAACCAATATAAATAGATTTAAAAATATATCGAATGACATCTCGAACTTATTAATCCTTGATAAAAAAAATTTAATACTTTAGATGTGTAATTTATCATCCTTAATTTTTAATAAATCAGCTCAGTCCTACAATATTGGAGTAGAATTTATCTAAAGAATATATATGAATGAACAGATCACACACCAAATTAAGGAAAAGAAGAGAGATGAGTCAAAGATTCACAACTAGAAAACTGGTCCCCCATAGAGTACACATTCTTGCTTTGGAATCTCTCAAGATGAGTTGGTGAGGAGGGGCAACTGAGACATGATTCTGCAGTGTTTCTTCAGCTTGTACTTTGCAGCTGATATCAAAGAATCAAGCAAAGCTTTCTTGCAAGGAACCACTAGATGAGCCTAATATGATCATTATATTCACAAGAGTCATTAGTGCAAGCCACATGACATGGCATCTATCTATACCTCTTTATCTATTCATTGCATTGCCAGGAACCTTCTTCTGCCTCTCTTCCTTTCCATCATCTTCTTGTAATGCTATCCATCCATCCATCCATCTTAGAGGTCCAACTTCTCTCCACTATGATCAACTTGATTTAATCTAAGTTGGTAAGAAAACATCACCTCATGTGATAGTGATTAGAATGATTACGACTCAGAGAAGCTTCTCCCACTGATAGTAGTATCTTCCAATCGCGTGCATGGCAGACCAACAGCTCTAACTGGCCACAGTCATTTAATACTCCCAACTCCTCGCGTTATGGCCACTACTTGCATGCCTTTGACATAAAGCACGGCATGAGCATTGGATGATGATGGTGAGTCAGGCTTCCACTCGTGAGACTCACATGTGTGAGATCGTCCAATAGCAACACCATTGTTACATCATAAGGATAGAATCCCTACCACTAATTAAGAGGTGGATTTGTGGTCTGAACTACCCAAGCAAATCATACCTCTCATTCACATACAACTAATTTAGGCCTTGAATATATAGATAGTTATTCATGTCAAATTTAGTCAATCGATGGTGTGTCGACCGAGCTTGCTTTTTGAACACAATATTTTCAAGAAAATATTTTCATATTAATATATTTAAGTTTTTAGAAATTAATAATAGATACGAAAAGAATGGAGCCTCTCAAGTCTTTACGGAGATAATTTCTCGATTCTAAATTCATTCGTAGAACTTATTTTAAACTTTTTATTTTTATTTCACTCGATATGAGTAAGCATATGAAAGTTTTATAGAAATAATCTAAATAAAATTTCGATAATTAAATATTTTTAAACACTAGAAAATTTCATCTTGGATAGATTAGACGACACATTAAGTTGTTGGATGATCGAATTATTTTTCAACACTAAACACAATAATATTTGAAAAATTATTATCTTAAGTTGATGGTGAATAGTGAGACCAATTGACCAATAATCTTGAATTAGTTTGTTGAGTATTATTACTATGATTTAATCTATAATTTGGGATTTGGATCTTGAATGAAATCACGACCGTCCGATGGCGTACCACATTGACCGCCACATCTGTCTCGATTTATGTAAATTTCGTTTGCATGGAGGGGTAAATTGCAAAAGAGAACGCCTTTTTTTAAGGAAACGCATGCGCGGCCCAAACAGACCTCCGCGCTTTGCCGATCTGATCGCCGATTATTCTCCTCGTCCATGATCGCCGATCCCCCGCGATGCCGAACCCGTGGAAGAAGCCCCGGCCCGGCGGAGGCAGAGGCGGCGGCGTATCTCGGTTACTCGCCGGCATCAGGCCCCACCGCGGCGGGTCGCTCGTCGTGCAGACCGGCTTCCCTACCTCCCTCGCTGACCTATTCGTCAAGAACCGCGGCCGCTTGAGGAAGCCCTCCCGGAAGAGGAAACCCCCTTCTGAATCCGATTCTGCGGCTTCCGAACCCCCCGCCGTAACGTCTCCTTTGGTCGGTGGCCCTCTGCCCGAGGCATCCTCTGTCGGCCGATCCATTCCGGTGGCGGCGGATGGCTTCCCGTCGTTGCCTGATTCCAATGAAACGAAGCACAGGCGCCTCGGGATCGTGTTTGGCCTTCTTTTCATAATGACGTTGGTTTTGGTGGTTCTGGCCATGGAAAGGAAGATGCTTGTTGCGGGGTTCACGCTCTCTGCGCTGGCTTTATGGCTGCTCGATTCGATCGGGTATCGGGCTCTATGGTTCTCGAAGCCGTGCTCGGAAGCGACGACGAGGTTGAACTCGGTCGTCGGAGGATGGGAATTTGAAGGACGAGGAGTGGTTTCTCCTATCAGGGAAGTTGGGATTGATAGCTGTTCGGATACGGTAAGATCAGAGAGTAGCTCGCTGGAATCTATTGATTGGAAGCAGGGGACGGAGGTTTTGTTGGAAAGGAAGGATCTTGCCGGGACAGGGAAGATTTCCCTCGTGCGTGATCTTAGTTCTAAGGGCAACTCAAAGGCAAAGAAGCTATTTAGGAAGTTAATCCCAAAGAAGCATCGTGCGCAAAAGCACGGTAATGATGAAAAAGAGCTTTCTTTGGATTTGAGTGGAAGAGGTAGCATTACAGAAATAGAAG